TTCCATTGTGGCCGGCAACCAGTGATTTTTGCCGCCTGTGAATGGCTCCGTCGCTGGCAACTAAAAGAGTCCTTGCTGTTATATAAGTTAAAATATTTTAGATAAATAATAAACGCTTTGTATGTTGTCTGACAATAACATGTAAGAAATGGAAATCGATGAAAAGTACATATTTCAGCAAAAAAACGAAGAAGAATTCTTATGCATGTGCTGGTGCGTGACATTCATCACAAGTTTGTGCTGTCAAGTCACACATCACTGGCATCCCTTCAAGCCTCAAGGTGTATGTAAATCATTCTATTTTTGCATTTAAATAAATTACTATTTGAAAGATCAATTATCTTCTTGACTTATCCGCTTTTAACTGTTTTAACTGTTTTAGTTAGAACAGTTATACTTTAACTAGGAACTACTTATTCTCACCAAGTGAAAGCTAACAATTATCTTGAGTCAAGTCCAAAGTAAGTCTCAGCTGATCGTGCAGGATACAATTGAGAAATATTTTCTGTGATGGTCGTACTTTTGTTTACCTTTGATTTCTGTGTCAATATATTTTGATGTGAAATTCTTCCAGATCGATTCAAGTGTTGTTTTACAGTAATATTTATAAGTAATGTGCCCCATATTGCCTGTGGGATGAATGGGTGAAGATACAACCACTTTGTTTGTCGCTGTTTTTCACCATGTGCTTGATTGCATAATCAGACAGCATAATTCAAGACAGACAGACAGACAGTATAACTCATGCTACAAAGGTAAAGGCTCATTACATTGTCACTTTCCCTTTAGCTTTTTTTTGTAGCTTCTTCCATTTAGATATGTTATCTTTCTTCACAGACTTGGCTGAATGACAAATCAGACTTGATTATTAGACAAAAATATGTCAGAAGTTTTATGTGACTGATGAATCAAATAGTGATGTTCATATTTTTGTTGCAAAAGTTCATATGATGTGACAGAAAAGGGCTGCATTTTATTAAATACATTGTCATGTTGTTAAGCCTGTTCATTTGCTTAATTTAAGCCCTCAAAATGCACCAGACTGCATCTCAGAGCACTTAAATTTTCAAAATTTCCCAAGAGGCATGCCCCTGAACCCCCCTAATTGTTCGTGCCTTCGGCACTCAGGTTGGGCGCATAGCACCCAAATTGTCTCCGCCTGCTTCCCTTTCATCGACTTCAACTTTCTTTGAAAAGGAAAACCTTACATTTAAAAACATTTTGGAGAAAGAAGTAGTGCTTTACAGCTGGAAAAATTGTGTTCACAGCTGGGTAATTTTCCCAGCTTCTGGCTATTATCTACAGCCCTGTTTTTTTCAGTAATTATCTAGTTTGACTATATCTTCATTAATAAATGTACTTCCATCTAAAGCTGGTACAAAACATGGATTTTTGTTTAGAGTTAACTTGATTAAAAAGACACATACTGCAGTACTAGTGTTTGTCAAAATTTTGAGTGGCAATGCAGTGTTTTTTATATTTATTAATGTTGCCAAGTATTTTTCTCCCTAAACTTTGTAATACTAAGTTCTTTCCACAACAATTTTTTTTTTTATGTTTTACGCATCTTTGTGAGCTCACTGCAGGCAACTATGTCATACAATTCAAAAAAGCATTCTGATCCATTCAGCTGAATTTTGATTGGTTCACTATTGTCTTGTTGCTAAGGGAATGTCATGCTTGATCAGTTTGATGAGCATGGGTTATGTAAACACATGCAAACAATCACAAAACAACATGTCTACAAAGCAAAAGTAATCTGTTCTCTTGATAAAGGATAAAAAAATAATTATTTCACCTTTAGATATAGGAGAAAAAGGAACAAATTTAGCGCTTGAATTTGGTAGCAGCAAGCAACAGTCTACAAAGCAAAAGCGATCTGTTCTCTTGACAAAGGATGAACAGATAATTATTTCAGGTTTAAATAAACGAGAAAAAGGATCAAATTTAGCGCTTGAATTTGGCATCAGCAAGCATCAGTCTACAAAGTAAAAGCTCTTTCAGTATGGACAGAAAACTCACAGGATATTTTTGAACAAAGAAGTCAATGAATATGGTTTACATGGTAAATGAGAGTCGCTTGGACTGAAATGCAACACGTGTGAAACTTTGCTGATTGTATTGTCACTGCAAAGACTGCATGCATCGAGTGCTTGATGGGTGCAACATGAATCTGTGATTTGAAGTGAAGACTTAGTTTGAAAGAGAATCAATTTTGTTTTCTAAACATTTTTTGCATTCTGGTTGAAAAATATTTTGCTGAAATGAAGAAACCAAAGCAAGCACATGGAAGTATGCTATCAGCAATTTGAAATGATCTTGAGGTAGGAGCATGATAGTTTCTAATACATAGATTCACTACAACCCTGCATACAAGCATAGCTTGTGTAGGACAAAACTTAACATTTGTTTTACCATGACTCCTTCTTATCTAGCTAGATCAAGCACCCATCTTGTGACTCTAAGTAGACTAATCACATGCCTGTCGTTTATTATTATACGTAAAAAAATCTGAAGATACTAGGGCGATGCAGTCATATTGAAGGGCTGCAGCCCACTAGCTTATGCCTCAGTTGGTTGGGCTGAAAGAGAAGGCAAAGCTCTTCCAGGTCGCTTGGCGATGATTTGAAGGGAAGATTTGTCTTATTGAGTTACAGTCTTTTTGTCATCTAAGTCTGTTCAAGTAATTGTTAGGTCTTTTCTTGAAGCAAATAAATACTTTTAGAAGGCTAGATAAGGCCTAGATAATTTAGTTATCATGTTGGACTACGTTGTTGATTATGTTGGACATTAAGTGATGTTACACATAGCCGTCTATTACGCTTAATAGACGCTTAAAGTGCACCTACACTCAAAAAATTTTTTTCGCTTAACGAAGTAAGCTTATTTTTTTGAGTATTTCTGCGCAAAAATTTTTTTATTTGCTCAAATCTTCAATTTTCTATGCCCAGTCAAAATACGGAAAATCGGCCGCCATCTTGCCCCACGACCGAGTTTAAAGAAGAATGGCTCTAGCGGGTAATGTGACGTCAAATCGAGAACACGAAAGTCTGCATCTCACACATTTTCACTTGTTTGGGAAGATTGTCGTCGATATCGTCCGAAATATGCCGACTAGGTGTGTTGTATGAAGATTGTATGGAGCGCGATACCCTCTTGCAAATTTCGCACGTTGCTACATCCTTCTACAACACACTTAGTCGGCATATTTTCGGACAATTATCGACTACAACCTTCCCAAACAAGTGAAAATGTGTGAAAAGCAGACTTTCGTGTTCTCGATTTGACGTCACATTACCCACTAGAGCCATTCCTCTTTAAACTCGGTCGTGGGGCAAGATGGCGGCCGATTTTCCGTATTTTGACTGGGCATAGAAAATTGAAGATTTGAGCAAATAAAAAAATTTTTGCGCAGAAATACTCAAAAAAATAAGCTTACTTCGTTAAGCGAAAAAAATTTTTTGGGGGTAATGTGACGTCAAATCGAGAACACGAAAGTCTGCATCTCACACATTTTCACTTGTTTGGGAAGATTGTCGTCGATATCGTCCGAAATATGCCGACTAGGTGTGTTGTATGAAGATTGTATGGAGCGCGATACCCTCTTGCAAATTTCGCACGTTGCTACATCCTTCTACAACACACTTAGTCGGCATATTTTCGGACAATTATCGACTACAACCTTACCAAACAAGTGAAAATGTGTGAAAAGCAGACTTTCGTGTTCTCGATTTGACGTCACATTACCCACTAGAGCCATTCCTCTTTAAACTCGGTCGTGGGGCAAGATGGCGGCCGATTTTCCGTATTTTGACTGGGCATAGAAAATTGAAGATTTGAGCAAATAAAAAAATTTTTGCGCAGAAATACTCAAAAAAATAAGCTTACTTCGTTAAGCGAAAAAAATTTTTTGGGTGTAGGTGCACTTTAACGACTAGCCTAATATTCCGATTTCTTTTGCGCAAAATAATTAAACAACAAGTCTTTATTTTTGTTACTATTTAATAAAATATATTGCTTTACAACTCCATAAAACAATGTTATAACTTTGACGAAGAGACTTGATATTGGATGGGCCGTCCACATCATACACCTCATTCCATTCTTTTATGTTCATGTAAATTAGCCCTCGATGCCTCGATTCTACCAAGAAATTCTTTTCATTTCGGCTAAACTTCAGAATACCCGGCCACAATACCCGTCCACATCATTTACATGTGCTTGATACCGTTAAAAGAGTTCTCGCGACGTGTGCTTGATACCGTTAAAAGAGTTCTCGTGTTGCGCTTCGCGGTTGCTCCTTTTAACGGTATCAAGCACATGTAAATGATGTGGACGGGTATTCTGAAGTTGTTCCGCCCGGCCACTCACTCATTTACGTGTCATTGAATAAGAATAGCATATATTTTGTTATTTTACGTGTCATTGAATACGAATAATATCTGTCGTGTTATGCTTCATTCTTCAAAGCCTCCTGACAAATTCCGCGAAGCGCAACTTGAGAATCCATCCACTTCGTTTACATGAAGCAAACGACTGAAGACTGGAGTTGAAATTTAGCGGCGAGTTTCTAAATTTTTCTGTCATTTACGACGTCGACAGAACTCTTTTAACGGTATCAAGCACATGTAAATGATGTGGACGGGTATTCTGAAGTTGCTCCTTGCGCTTAATAATGAATTCGTTTTCGTGTTTGGTTTTGTTGCGAATCTTTCAATATTCTGCTCGATCTCACTAGAGGAGTAGGAGCCATGGTTAAATAAGACAGTAGCCAACAACATAGTCAACATGATAAAAAAATGATCTACACCTTATCTACATCTACATTTTATTAAAGTCTATCTAAGGGAAGGCCCATATCACCAACAGACTAGCCTTCTAAAAGTATTTCCTTCGGGAAAAGACCTAACAATTAGATGAACAGACTTTAAATGAAAAAACGTTCGGACGAGAGACAGTAATTCTTAGAAAAGTACAAACTAAGATGAAATCTAGGATACCTTTAAATTCGTAATCTCCTCCTTCTGTTTTCTCTTCCAATTCCGACATGTGATTACAGATGATGTTATACGGCAATATATCAAACGAAACGATACCATTAGATGAACGACGGATGACTAGCCAACATAGTTCGCCTCAAAAGTGAGACTAGGCGGGATACAACGGATCACAGCCAGCCAACCGGGCGATCACGTGACAATGAACTTCTCGCATTTTGGATGCCATCCATGAAAACCACCTCGGTCGAGAGGGACTGAGATGGAATGATGGACACCTCGTGACGTATTATACCTTTAGATAATTATGAAGCTACGAAAACATGCGGATTCATCCCGATGACTTGAGTGTACTATTTGTTTGGGAAACTGCGTCAAAACTTTACACCCGAGAAATGGTAAGTACTAATTTATTGTTTGATGGTACTATTATAAAACGTTTCGCGCAATTTTAGGCAGATACTTCCGATATTTTAAAAGGTGCCAAGGTATTAGGTAGTTTTGGTGGATGTTAGGCGTGCATGGGCATCCACCAAAACAGTGATCAATCAAACCATCAATAGTACTTTTTGAATTTTATCTATGGCCAATGTTAGATCTTCAAGGAAGCAAAAGAATTATATTCCACAAAATGTTAGCACTTTTCGTTCTGGCTAATCAAATCATAAGACATAAAATTAAATTAAAGTGGTTTTGGTGGATGTTTCTCTCTCCATCCACCAAAACCACCATGACAATTTCTGTTACTTCCATNTGGAACTACCTTGTGCTGTGCAAAAAATAAAATTTCTCGCATTTTTATCTGTGCTTTGCAGTCAAACTTCCGTGTGTCTTGAACGAGAAATCTTCTTTTCTTGAACACGAAATCTTTGTGACCAGCCTTCTGTAAAAGATAAGTATATCAGCGTAAGATGAGTGAAAGTGCATTTCTCAAGCTATTTTTTGGAATGTGAAGAAATAGAAGTGTCATTGCGTGATATTTGTATCTGACCTTTCGGGTTAGCAAGCCGTGGGTGACAGTAGTAACACCAATGTCGCGGATAAGAAAAATATGTGTACGGACAGTGCAATATTTCATTTACCTCATCTGCATCTTTTCGTTTCCTTTTCTCTCCAGCTTTTCTATCTTTGCCGTGCCAACAATCGAACACTTTCCTTCCCAAAATTATGAAAGGCACACCAGTAAAAGGAATTTTTGCACCTTTAATGTCTCGTGGATCTTCCCAGAGTATTTTGTGACTTCTGTTCGAGTGATCTCTTGTTAAATTATGATGGAAGATAGGATCAGTAGAGCAAGGACGAGAATGATACAAGCTAGCACGACGTAACGCTCTCAAATATATATCGACATACCAGTGTTTCCGAAACCTTTGTCAGCCTTAAAGCAAGAAAACTTCGTCGTCGATCCTGTTTAGAAATCCGCAATGAGTTAATACGCCTCATCAACAGAATTTACATATCCAAAATTATCCGCATCTCTACCATCAGGCAAAGGTTCGCGTTTTAAAATTCCCGCCATGTTGTCTCTGTTTGTCCTTCTGGTGTTCGGCTATGTCTCCGCGCGGATTTCCGAGAATCTTCGGTTATGATTTGGAAGTTAATTAAATATTCCATCTCAGTCCCTCTCGACCGAGGTGGTTTTGGTGGATGGCATCCAATGCTGACCCTCTCTGATGTTCGCCGGTTTTCCTAACCAGTCCCCTCTACTAACTATGCTTGTATCATGTACCTTGTATGCATTCTACGACACTGTCGCTCTTTTGATTGGTTACGAAAAACAACTTGTCGAGCGTCGGCAAGCATCGTGCGTTCGCCGAGTTCCGGCCAAAACGCCTCGAGTCACCTTTGGCCTGTTTTCCAAAGCGAGTCCCAGTACTCGCCTTTCAAATGATTATTAGTTTTCATTGACAAACAAATAAACCTCATTTTCATACGAATGGTTGAGCACACACTTCATGGGAATTACGGTCTTTTCGTCCAGAAGTCTTTCCGTCTAAAAGTCTTTTTGTCCAAGTCTTTTCGTCCAAAAGTATTTTCACTAAGTCAGTTGGTTTACTTGTTAAGTCTTTTCTCGAAGCAAATAAATAACTTTTAGAGGGCTAGATAACGCTATAGAAAGAACTTGTTGCAAGCCATTCACGTAGTGATGTTACACTTCGTTGCCCTAGCTTTGCGCTCAATAGACGCTTGACAACAAGCCTAATATTCCCATTTCTTTCGCGTGAAATAATTAAACGGCAAGCAAGACTTTACTTTTGTCACTATTTAATAAAGTATATTACGTTACAACTTCATTCATTTTCTGTGTATTTATCGTAAATATTCATGCCGTTGAATTCGTAAACGAAGATTGGTGACTAAAGGTATCAGTACCAAAACGGCGGCGGCTCGCAACAAGTTCTCTCTATAGCCTTATCTAGCCTTCTAAACGTTATTTATTTGCTTCGAGAAAAGACTTCACAAGTAAACGAACAGACTTAAGTGAAAATACTTTTGGACGAATAGACTTGCACGAAAATACTTTTGGACGAAAAGACCGGACACCCTTCCTGGTTACGCGGTTTTGCATCATAATGAAGGTACAGTCGAAACTCTTGAATAAATGTTTGCGTCGCTGTGTAGCTTGTTTATGATCTTGCTTACCAAGACGAGCGAGCCGATGGAGCGTGAAACCTCACTTAGTAATAACGCAACTCTTAGCCAATCAGACCTCATTCGAATGTTCTTCTTTACTTACCACGTGTGCGAGCGCTACGGATCTTGATCATGACTGATAAATAATCGTGACAAAATTGGGACCAGAGAAAAAGTCCGGATAATCGAGATTGGGCTGTACAGTGTTTTCTTTTCGGCTTGAACTCGCTAGGTGAATAAGTGGAATTTTGCGCAACTCAGTTGAAAGCTAGGTTGTAGGACATCTATCTAATGGCATCTAAAACCGCGCTGAAATCTCGATTAAGATATTTCCGCTGCTCTGCTTCAATGTCTCCAATGCAAACACAACAGCCATGATAATACGCAGTTGAGTATGAAGCACGTTCGAAAATTCGTCGACCCATTTAAGATAGCTAACGCCCATACCAAACAATGGCTCGGCTCTCCATGATTTCTCTCTTGCTCTTGATCTAGCGAAGTCCGCAATCATGAAAGGCATGTCGCATATGGGTGATTTAAACACTGCTCACCCCCTAAGGCAACTGCGGGAAAAGTTATCCCGGCACCTGAGAAGTAAGTAGGCTCGATTACCAGCCGCTGTTTGAGAACCGGAGCCCGCGCTCCTTCCTGAAGAGACTCTGCTTGGGGAGGAACGAAAAGGCCGGACTCGAGAGAGCGGTGGAAATCGAACCTAAGAAGTAAATGGACCGAGAGGAACAGTAGGACCAAGACTGTCAAAGGAAAAATTACTGACTTTCAGGAGTGCGAGAACAAGCCGAGTTTGCTACAGATCCTGTTTCCTTGCGGAAGAAAGTGTTAGCAATTTAAATCGCGTAGAACACGGCAAGCCCAGCAGAAAAAGACCATTTATGAGAGGAAAAGGAACGAGCCCGGTCACGAACGTACATCGCGAAAGTGGCTACCGACGCATTGAGGAATGCTCTTTATACAAGAAACCACACAACACGAGTAATTGTGAACAGTTTTTGAAGAAATCTTTAGTGAGCTGCGAAACTTTGCAATGGAGGAGAAGCTATGCTTTGGTTGCTCTAGTGATCAGCACATTGCAAAGCACGGCTAGGAATGGCTGAAATGTAAACTTTGTGGCAAGCACCACCCAACGTCACCTACATGACGATGATTGGAAGAACAGAAGACAGCGAAATTCTAAGGTTACCTTCGCTTAGATTTAGCAATAGATATAGAGGAGTTCCACCAATTCAAAAATGGTTGAGGCTCAAATTAAAAATACAGGCCTCGAAGAACTACGAATACACTCGGCGTTTTTCTTTTGAAACATAGGACCACCAGTATCTGATTCAAAACCCTTTCTTTACGGACTTCAGATTCATTTTCCACTTCACTGAGGGCCAGAGGAGCGATACATACAGGAGATGATGGAAAAGAAAAACAACGCCAAAAAGTGATTCACCCTGCCCGCACCAAAATAGTCTTTGTGATTGACATGAAACGATAAAAGATGATGCTTAAAGATATTTTAAAACTCGGTGGATGTAGACCCTACATATTGTAGATTACATTTACGACATGTTGCAAGGTAGATGACGTAGTAGATTAGATAAAATATGCCTGTAGCCGAGCTTTGGAATTTAAGCATTTCTACACATAAACCCACACACAACCGACAATTTATCCATTCGCTCTGACGAAGAGCTGACGCTCGAAACGTCAGCTTTTTTAACTCGTTACGGTGGCCAATTTACAATTTCAACTTAGTTGGTATAACCGACTACCTTGTTACCCCCCCTACCGACGCAGAATTGTAATAACATTGAACTGTAGCTAAAAAATTAAGTGAAATAGTAGCCTATTGTGGGGAGAGCAATAATTAGGAGAAACGTACTTATAAATTTTTTTGTAGGATGTTACTGCTTATGCTTATCCCTTTTCACTCCCTGTGGAGCATAGGTCCAAGGAAACCTCACGCCATCTCCTTCTATCCCGGGCCAACTTCTCTATTTCATTGCAGGTGTAGCCTGCCTTGGCCGCCTCCTTGTCCACGGTTCTCCTCCAGCTGTTTCTAGGACGGCCTTGTTTTCTCTTCCCCTAGCTGTGGGTTCCACCTCAGTGCATGCCTGGTAACATTGCTGTTCGGTTTTCTGAGGGTGTGCCCTATTCAACCCCATTTGCGCCTTCTAATCTGGATATCAATTCGTTCCTGATCAGTTCTTGCCCTCAAATCTTCATTCCTTATGACCTCAGGCCAATGTATGTCCATAATGGACCGTAAGCATTTATTGACAGAGTGCAGTTTGCTGGAGGTTGCTTTTGTTACCTTCCATGTCTCTGACCCATACAGGAGGACGGATTTCACGTTGGTGTTAAATATCCGTAGTTTTGGTCTTTCTGGAAATTGTTTTAGAGTTTCACACAGGACATAGAGTTGTGAAAACAGATCTTGCCTTCCCGATCCTCATTTGTATGTCTCGATCAGACCCGCCATCGTTGCTGATGTTACTGCCAAGGTAGACAAAGTCCTCCACTTCCTCGATGTCTTCCCCCTCCAATTCCAGCCAGTCTGCATTACTGGTGTTAATTCTCATGCCCTTTGTCTTAGATTTGCTGATTCGAAGACCTGCCTTTGCTGAGATCTTGGCCATCTGTGTTAGTTTGGATTGCATACCCTGGTGATTGTGTGAGAGTAAAGCGACATCGTCCGCGAAGTCTAAATCTTCTATTCGAGTCATGAGGGTCCACTGTATGCCATCTCGATGTTTCTCTGTTGTCTGTCGCATTATCCAGTCGATGACCAGCAGGAACAGAAAGGGCGATAACAAACAACCCTGGCGTACTCCAGTGAGCATCTCAACCAATTCAGAAAGGAGGCTGTTGTGAATTACCCTGCAGCTGCATTTGTCATAGGTCTTCTGTATAAGGGTAATGTACTTCTCAGGAATGCCGTAATGACGTAATAGCTTCCGCAACATGTTACTACTAGCTAAAAACAAGGATGTTACTACTAGCTAAAAAATATAATACTGTTCGTTCGACTCGTGAATAATAAAAAAACACTTGAAAATAGAATGCAAAAAACAAGCACTTGGTCACATCGTAAGAACCTGAGAATAATAAACGATCAGTTTTTAGGCATTTAGCTCTTATTTGGAATTGTAATAACATTTGAACTGTAGCTAAAAAATTTAGTGAAAAAAATGGCCTATTGTGGTGAGAGCAATGATCAGGAGAAACGTATTTTTGATATTTATTTTGTAGGATGCCACTACAATCTAAAGAAAATATAGTACTGTTTGTTCGACCCGTGAATTTAAAGTGAAAAAGACACTTGAAAATAGAATTAAATAAAAAACAAGCCCTCGGCCACGTCGTAAGAACTGTAACTTAAGAAATTTGTGAAACCTCGGTTGCAGACTATATTTACTTAGTTCCGACAATATGCATGTGCGAGTAACGATTGCTCTAATCGTTAGATTTGCCAAATTCGCTTTGGCGAGTTTTCTATCATTATCGTTACGAGTTAAGTATGCTTGAAATTCTTTCATTCTCGGAACAAAACCTGTAGGATCTAAGCGCTAATTATTTTAGTGT